TGTATTTTGTATTTTGTATTTCAAATCAAAAGATTGGAAGTATTTCATATTTTGTAATTCAAATACTAAGATTCCTAGTATTTTGTATTTTGTATTTTAAATACTTTAATGGTGTATTTTGCCCAGCCCTGGTGATAGATTTGGGTAGCAAATATGATGTGGTAGTCTAGGGTTAAGGTGTGAAATGCTTCTTTGATCATTCTGTTACGATTATTTTTGCCGAACTTACACTCTCTTGAAATTTGCCTATTTTTAGCGATCAGAATAGGTGATCCTTTAATTTTGGCGCGGAGTGTATTATTTTGTTATTTATAGAAATATTTTTTTTATAAGACATTGTAATATCAACTGTTTGTGAGAATTAAATTCAAGAGGATCTTTTCCCGCGGCGCGCTAAAAACGGTGCACATTCGTGTCACCAGATGGCGACACGATGTATACATTCGATTCATCAATGACATCAATCGTCGTCAGCTGATCGCGTCCTGCAATAGTCTGGATATCTACTTTGGATTACTCCAAATAATATCCCGCTGTTTCGAAGGAATGACGCATAACCGGAATCTAGTGCTTAATATTTTGAATGTTAAGTAATATAATTGTGCATCGTAGAACGAGAACACCTCAGAATGGAGCCGCAGGATATTTATTACAACAAAGCCGAATACGTTGAAACGGTAATGGACAGTTAAAGCAACTAAAGCACGCGGTGAGACGTTCGCAGTGTCCGAAATTGGGAAGGAAATACTATAATTATCCGTTGAAAGACGGATTCCGTAAAAATTTAATCGCTCAGCGATACTCTTTATCTGCAGACGTTTAGAATGCCACACATAACCTCACTTTTTCGGCTATTTCAGGCCTCGGGAAACAAGGTGAGCAGGCTGACGGTGCTGTGCGGCTCGCAAAATATTGTGCTGCACGGAAAGGTGATAGTGCAATCTGACGCGATTATCAGAGGCGATCTGGCCAATGTCAGGACAGGCCGCTATTGCATCATCAGCAAGAATGCCGTCATCCGACCGCCTTTCAAGAAATTCAGCAGAGGGTAAGTTGAGGTTCATATATTATGGCTGATGCTTCCCATTTGGTGACACACAAGTCGACACAAGTATCGGCTTTGTCTTTGTTACTCACTAAATGCCAAGAAGGACGTTTACATAGAATGACGTTTGTGTCGACCTGTGTGTCACTAAATGGAAAGCGTCCTATATTAATATGCGTTATATTAATCAATTTAATCTCGCTGTAAAACAATGTGAATATCAGCTTACAATAGATCAAGATTGACAAGCTTGCAAATAAGCGACAGCTCTGTACTACAATTTATGCCAAATTCTAACAATGATGAACTCTCGATTAGGGTTGCCTTTTTTCCTCTAACGATGGGAAATCACGTGTTTGTGGGGGAGCGAGCGGTCGTGAATGCAGCGCTGGTCGGTTCTTACGTTTACATCGGGAAGAACGCCATAATTGTATGTATAATGATTTTCACTCGGCAAGTCGAGTGAGTACCAAGCCAGGGTTGCCACAAAACTGGAAATCAGAGAGAAGTTGAAACAGGGGAAATTGAAAACGGCCATGGAAATCAAGAAGTCAGGGAATTTTACAAAATTTTCTGCAAAATTAAAATTCTTAGATTTAAAGAAGTTTAATATTTATAAGCGTTTATTACACACTTATACAGTTTTGTTAGCTAATGTAAACTCTCTTTTTAATAGAGGTTTAAAATGCTTTACTGAGAGCAATGGAATTTTAAATTTATTTAAAACTATTTTTTAAACTTGAAAGTTTATATTATTTTTGTTAATTTTTCTTTCAAGTTTGTAAATCTTTGTATAACAGCAAGTTGGAGATTCCAATAAACAGGATTTAGTTTTTATCAAAAAGAATCTCTATTTACACGTTTCTTGTATTGTAAGCAGAGGAAAAGAATCGTGCGCATATACATATAAAAGAAAAAGATAAGGGAATGCTAACTACTTAACAATTGAGTGCAAGCAACGTCAACAACAGTAACAGTAATTTACATTGCTATGTTAAATTGCTCAACAAAATATTTAACGATTTCCAAACAGTTTTCAAATCAAACGAGCATAAAAAAATTTTTTAATATTATCGAAAGTCATAAGAGAATCATGAAATTTTGTTTCCGGAAGTCAGGGAAGTCATGAAATTTTAGAATGAATTTGTGGCAACCCTGCTGAAGCGCAATGCCTTCACAATCAATCGTATCTTGTTTCGCTGTATAGGGCAGGCGATCCGTCCTGAAGGACTGCTGCTATATCGAGGACGGCGCGGTCGTGCCACCAGAAACTATCGTGCCGTCCTTTACTCGTTTCGCTGGCAGTCCGGCGACGTGCGTTGAAGAGCTACCCGAGTGCACGCTGGATCTCATGGTAGATTTCACGAAGAATTATTACGAGCACTTCTTACCGGCGCGCGTTTAACGTCTATCTGTATATGTCAATAGTTGCTTACAGTCGAAAGATTTATTCTTTACAGATACATTACATACTTGTGCTGTGCACTCAAAATGAGATAAATA